CAACCCAGTATGTTTGCAAGTGTTCCCTGCCGAGGATATGCCTATGGATATGATCGGTCACCTCCTCTCCACAGATTACCACTTGCATCAGCTGTTTGTGGACCCTGCGGATGTTGGCCATGCGGGCGTGTCCCGTGCACGCACATATGTCTTTTGTGCACACAAGCAGACGTGCAGCTACATCATGGATGTGCACGAGATGCACTACTTCATTTCGCAGGACATCCGAGACTTTGTGCAGACGAAACCTCGTGATTATATGGTGGCCCCTGAGCATTTGCGCACTTTGTTTCAGCAGCAGATTTGCAGAACGCGCAAGATGGACTTCGTGCCGGCATCTGGGATGCGATTAGAGAGGTGAATTTGGTGTTTCGGTGCAGTGAAGGTGGCAGGTGCCAGGCTGTGTCTGCGTTTGTTTGAGATGATGCAATGGTCCTGCCGCGCAGGGCCATTCGGACGACTACTGGTTGTTGAACGAGCGTGAACGATTTTTGGTGCATCAGCTCGACCTGGACTATGTGCACATGTACCAGAAGCACCCGGCCAAAGTAGAAGACCTGATCTACTTCCTGGGTGACCGGTACGAGCATACCAGGACATGGTCAGCCACTTCCGGACGTTTGCCGACGTACCGCCGCAACTCTGGGTTCTATCTGCACAGGGCCAGCCTCCGTCTCATGACTCCGTGTGATAAGTTGGCATCTATGGGGTGGCCTGTAAACGCGGAGGCTGCTGAGGCAATGGGCACGAGGTGTCTCCCGGTCACGGACGTGGAGAGGTCTGCTTCGGTGGTAGGCAATGCCATGCACCTGACTCAGATTGCTGTGATTTTGCTCCTTGGACTCAGCTGCTTTGGCCGGCAGGAGCACGGGCCTCTTCTAGGTGGCGAATGCCACTTCTTTCGGTACTAATGAGAAATGATAACCGAAACTCTTTCTTGCGTGTGGACAGAAAATAGTGGCCATCAGTCCTTGCCAGCGTTCTGATTGTCTTCTGCAGTGCAGTTGTTGCAGGTCACATGGCAGCAGTTTTGCGGCACGCTGTTCCCCTCATGAGGTCGAGGCTCAATCAAGGATTGCGGGTCGTCGCGGTAAAGGAATCGACAGCGAAGCCATCATGCCACCAGCGACGCGGCTGCCAAAAGCCACAACCAAAGCGCCCCCCAAGGCAACCGCCAAGGTTGCTCTGGTGCCGCCTGGCCCCAGGCCAGCGTTGCCAGCAGCCC